CCTAACAGCAACTCTAGAGAAATCTTTGACAGCAGATTTTCCCAGTGTTTATTGTGGAACAAATCAAGTTAAAATTGTTAACAATCTATATCTCTTCTCTGTCTAGCATGATGCCGTCATTTGGCAAAGTGGTGAGAATCTTTGTTTTCTTAGGGTTGAGTTTCAATCTGTATTGAAAATTGGAGTCCTTAAACCTCTGCTGCAAATACCTCAGGTACTCCTCAGTTTCAGCAAACAAGGTTTTGTTGAGAGACTTCCTCTTACTTCATCTTACTTAGATCCACAATTAACACCCTTTTACCAGCAGTCAGGAAATCAGGAGATGTATTGCACTGTGAAAATCTTCAGTTAAGGACTTCTCCAAACTCTTGAAGAGTTATGATGTCAGTGTGAGGACTAACATGCATCTGATTTAGGCCATGGTCTTTCTGATCATTTGCGATGCATCTGAGAGCTGAACAATGAATAAGGATGACAAAAGAATTGATGCCTTTGAGCTGTGATGTTGGAGAAGAGTATATCCCTTGGGCTGTCAAAAGAACAAACAGGTACATCTTAGAGTGAAGCCGACTGCTCTGTAGAGGTAAAGATCATGAGGCTTTGCCTCATATACTTTGGCCATGTTACTAGGAGGGGGTGTTCCTTGGAGAGGGACGTGATGCTCAGAAAGGTGAAAAATCTGTAAAAGAGAGAAAGGTCCTCTACTAGGTGCGTTGAAATGATAACTGCTACAGTGGGCTCTAGTGTGTCAGGATGTGTGTGGATGGCACAGGTTAGGACAAGGTTCAGATCCGTTATTCATTGAGTGGCTATGATTTGTACATGATGGATGGCACCTAAAAACAGCAACAGCAATCTCATCAAACAATTCCAATTCTAATTTGTTTTACCTCATGTTTACATTTATGTGAAGGTGTTAACTGTTGTTTTTGTGGGGTTTTGTTTGTTTGTTTTAAAAAATATTTTATGAGAAAGTGTTCTTAATTATAACTTGCTTTGATGATGTTTGTAGATCTGATCTGATTAGCAGATTTTTAGGAGGCTTAAAGGTTGATTTATCCCTGTTAGACTCACATTCATATGCATTAAATACTATTTCTTTTCTTAGAGTCTAAAAGAGTTAACGAAGCAAAGAAGAAAAGGGTCTGCTATTAGTAACTGTCTGTATAATGGCTCTTGACTGTTCTCATACTGCTGGTTATAAAACTTCCTTCTATTAACATTTAAAAGCAGCAAGAGCCAACTTGAGTGTATTCATGGTATATTTAGGCCTAAAATAAGAAAATACATAGGGCACTTTCTTGAGAATTCAAACATTTATTGTACTTTTTAGGATAAAATATTGTGTGTGTCTTTAGTATACCTTCTAAATCTTTCTCAAATATGACTTCACTGTTGGACAAATTGACCTGCTGGAGGGTCATCTATGAATCTGTACGAGCTTGATGGTACACGGCAGTAGCAACAAGGATATGGTCTTTCTGTTGTGACAGAGGTTAAGAGATGTTTTTCCATTCATCTCCAAGTCTTCAGTACCAAAAGATTAAGATTGGTTGCATCAGCTGTTTCTGGGTATTGATCGTGATTTAGTCCCTGTGCATATTTGAAGACTTGCATCTCAGTGCTTGCTTTCACAAATGTGTTCTAGACAGATTCAGCTACATGTATACCTGAGTGCAGGCTATGCCATCTGCATCCTTCAAAACTGTGATTAATTCTGGTTTCTTGCTTGAAAAACACCACCAACTATTTCCTGTCCCTTTTAATACCAGTTTTCTATTGAGTCCATGATCAATTTCTATTCTCCTGTGATCTAAGAATATCAACACTAAGTTCTTTATAAGAAAATAACTTTCTACCTCTAACATTATAAAATAAGGCAATGCATTTTTTTTAGACATGGAAGTTTAACTTCTTATTTGCCAGGTTCTTAATAAAGATATGTATTTTTAGTAGATATGATGCACTCAAAAGAGATATTGAACATGGTCCAAAGTAGTCAGAGGATCTGTTTTACACAAGTTGCACTCCATTAACACATAGCCATTGACTTTCTATGAGCTGGCAACAAAATATCTAGCAAGATGATTTTCATGACTATATCAAGTTTGCATGAAAGTATTTTACATGTCAGTACAATGTGAATAAGGCCTAACTGAATTTTTTATTACCAAAGAGTTAAATATTTCATCAGATCAGAAATGATATACTGGTTCTCTTTTCTTTTTTTTTCTTGAGTATAAATGTAGAAAATTTGGGACTCTATCATATTTTGAAACTTATAGCTTATTTTAAAGAGGATCAGACTGGCTGTATCTTATTAATTATAATTTAAAATATTCCATATATCTTTATTTTCTTCTTCTTGACGGTTGTGAATTGTTTCTATTTTTAGTGGAGAGCAGATGATCATACACTAGAAAGAACAAGGTTCATAAAGAAGTTTATTACCCTTTGTGAGGAAATTGTGGCCTTAATTTCTACTAAAGTAGTTAGTATAAGGGAATAACAATTATATTTTTAGGAAGGGGTGCTGTTTAGTAAAATGTTCAAAGAGTATGTAGTGAGTAATGTCGTTTGTTTTTTACTCATTTGAACCTTAGAGGAATTTTTTTTTATATTATTTTAAGCATTAGGTCACCTCAGGACTTGAGAAATACATAAGTTTGAAGTAATTTGACACAACATAATGTATCAGAAGATCTGTTGCAAATATCAAACAAAATGTCTTTATAAGTGTGCATGTTGAGGGTTTTTGGTTGGTTTTAGGTTTTGGGTGTTTGTTGTTGTTTAGGTTACTTTTTTAATACTCTTTTAAGATAAGACTTTATAGAAAGATTTATTGACATTAAATGTCTTCCAAATACAATGTGGTTGGTATCTATAGGGTGTAAAAGGACAGCACCAGTATTGTATTTGAAAAAGTCTTCGTCTCACTAGATAAAAAGCCACAAGTACCTGAACCAGCAGATCTTATATTATGCCGTTTAGGTCTTAAAAGTGCTAAAAAGAAAGACCTGTGGCTGAATTTGAGCATATGTTAGTAATGGGGGGAAAAAGAAGTTTTTTATGTTCTTCATGTACTCTAATATTTGCCACAAAACTAGTCCTTTCTGGTGCTCTGCAGGAGTGGCATCCACTTCCTAAAGGACATGCTTCTGGAAACTATGAACTTTGATAAATGACGATAGTTATAGTAAGGCTTCAGGCCTTTTGTTCATAGGTTCCCTATGAGGCGAGCTCGACTCGACGGCAATCAACATCTACCACCAATATTGCCTACTAATGTTTCATTAAACTGCTATTGCTATTTTCTGTGAAGATGACCCCAGGTATGAGAGAATAAGAATATCTCGTTCTGGAATCTTCTCAAAATTAGGTATGCTTGAGAATATTATGGCTACTGTGTATTTTGAGTGGCTTCCAGTATAGAATCTTCTTTTCCAGAACCACACCCCAAAATATTCTGCTGTGATCCAAAATGTATTTCACTGCTCTATTTTCGAAAGTATGTGATCAATCTTTTCTTCCTAGTCTCTTAGTTTGAAAGCTCCACTACAATCACCTGCTGGTGTTTGACTAAGTGATAGCACAGAGTCTTACATACTAAAATAACACAAGCCACCACAGTACAGAAAAGTAATGAGCAATTATTGATGAAATTATTAATTATTTCTTTTTTTTCATTCAAAATAATCTTAATTTTCTCTGTTGTGCAAAACTATGCATGGACTTTGGCATCGTTTTCTGAATGTTCTGTATTTTGTGTGATTTTGCATCAAGTACAATACTGTTATATCAAAGGTAAGTCCCTGTAGCCATCCTAACTTTAGAAACACTTGAATGAGATTAGGAAGTGATCATCATTTACATTTATTATACTTTGCATGTAACAAGCTGTAGCTATTAACTCTAATTTGCTTCTCATAGCATTCATCAAAGGCGAACTATTTAGAAACTAAAACATCTCTGTCAGAATTTTAATGAATTAAGATGAAATGAGACAGTGTTAATTGGCAGTTGTTGCTGCAGGGGAGGTTGTAGATCTTGTAAGTGATCGCAATTCATCTCTCTATCAGGGCTAATTTGTTTGATTTGATTCTGTGCATACACTAAATATTTCCCCAAACTACTCGTATTTATTTTCAGAATTGGAGGTGCTGTTGGTCTTTGATTTGGATTCTCCGTCCTATTTGAACTTGCTTTAATTTTATTGTTAACAAATTGCTGGTTTTAACTAATGATTTCATTTTCTAGTGTGGTGATAACAAAAATACAAGTGATTTACTTTAGCAAATCTTTCACAGTTGCAGAGACTAGGCATTTGAATTCAGGGCACTGGCTCTAGGTGAAGCTTACTCTCTCAGATCTGGAGGAAGGTCCTTGTCTTCTTTCAACGTCTGTGAACTTGGTGCCCTTTAGATAGCACTAGATGTATGAACATCAGTTTTCTGCAAGGGCTAGAAGATTCTCAGCCAGGGAGCTCAAGTCTAAAGGATTTGCTCAGCAACTAACTCTTTTTTTTCCCCTTTTGTGGTGGTAAAGTTCTTGACTCTCTGCTTGCTTCAGTCTCCTTTTGTGTCTTGTAGGATACAAGATCCTTCAGGTTATAACCCACAGAGGTTGCCTTGACATTGGATGAGGGTTGTAACTGCATTAAGGATGTTGCATTCCAACCTAGGGCCATTGTAAATGGTTAGCTGATCAGATTATATCATGGAAGATAATTAACTACATCATTATATGTGACAAGCTACTAATACCATGACCTGGTTAAGTGATACATAAATTGAGGGACACAATTCAATCTATAACAATTAATAAATGTATTACATTAGGCAGACACACACACGGAGACACATACACACATCGAAACACACATCCCTACAAAAGGATAACATTTCTTAGACCTGTTTCCTTTAACATTTTTAAAATCCTACAAACAACATCTAATTCATTGTTTGACTAAAAATTCTATTCCTCTGTTCTCTTTTCCTTAGATATGAATGAATGTGAAGCTGAACCTTGCAAAAATGGTGGCATATGTACAGATCTTGTTGCTAACTATTCCTGTGAATGCCCAGGTGAATTTATGGGACGGAACTGTCAATACAGTAAGTATTTAAATATATATTCTTTTATTTCTTTGATAACATTCATTATAGAAACAGCTCAATTATAGTATTTTATTCCCAAGTCCGTAAGTTATTAAATAGTCCAGTGAATCTTTGTTACTCACATTATTGTTGTACACATATTCTCCAACATGGGTCCAGCACACATGTGAATCAGATTAGCAATTCAACTTATTCTTTTCATGTCAGAACTGACTCCTTGCTGACTGTCTGGAGGGTTTTTCAAAACTATAAATTTCACCAGAGGAGATTGCTCTTCTTTTTCCTGTGGAGAAGTTGGGGTATTCAAACATTGAAAGAGAACACTCTTCAGTTAGCATTGTGACTCTCTGTGACCTACACCATTAAGATTTCCAAGAAGTCTCTGAAGAATATTGCAGCGTCCCTCAGGTGACAGTAATTTGCAAACTGTCATCAGAAAAGAGTGGCACTATACACCTAAATCTACTTATGCATTGAATCTTTCTGAGTATGTTTATGGAATAGATTTTATCACCATAGTGGTTGTTCTATTTCTGATGATAATTTCAAGGAACTACAACAAGCTCTGAGAGCCTAGTGGTAAGAAGCTGTGCTGCAATCCCAAAGGCACATGATTTGAATCCACTCACTGCTCCTCTGGAGAAGGATGCAATTTCCTTGCATACAATGTACCATCTTTGAAAACTTGCTGAAGGGTCAACTATAGGTCAGTTCCAACTGGATAATACACTGAAACAACAGCATAGCAATACAGTCATACGAGCTCTGGTTACTTAGTGGTAAGGAGTTGCACTGGCAACTCAAAAACACGGTTCAAATCCACTAGATTTTCCATGTGAGAAAGATGGGCCGTCTCTTCTATAGAAAGATGAGTGGGTTACAGTCTCTAAAAACCCTCTGAAGGATCAACTATGGGTAACTTCCAACTCCACAGAATGTAATAACAGTTATAGATAATGAACCCAGATAAGGTAACGGGCTAAGTGCTGAACTGTTAACCAAAAGGTTGACGGATTTAAGCCAGTCTCAGAAATGCACTGTACAGTTGTACATTACCCTATAGGGGCCCACTCAGAATTGACTCTATGACAGTGAGTTTTTGTAACCAGATGTTCTCTATTATAAATAAAATGTAAAGTGAAAGAGAAAGCATGTTTATTCAGTCTTGAGATAATAGATCTAGTTAGAGGATATTGTGTTTGAGATATTTACAATGAAGAGGAAAAGTATCTCTCTCCCTAAAATAAACAAATAAGCAAAACCCAAAAAATTGGTTAAAATAGAATAATAGAAAATGAATTAATGAGATAGGACTTAAATTGTACCCAAACACATGCAAATGATAATAATAACAGCTCTATAATTGCTGGTGACTTACAGAAAAGTCACAGTGCTCGTGATTTTAAATATGTTATCTTAATTGAGCATCATGGCAAAATCATGCAAATGCAAATGCAGGTGCAGGTGGGAAGTCAGGTGCACAAACTAAGAAATATATATATATATGATCTTTGGTAAACCATCTGCATAAATATATGCAGATGGTTTACCAAAGATCTCATAACTAGGTAGACACGAAGCCGACCTGGAAGGAATACAGATCTTCCGCCTCTTCGTTCAGTGAATGTTCCTCCAGAATCAGCATCATCTTCAGTCAGATGTGAGCAGGACACACACATACACACACACACACACACACACACACTTACACTTTTCATCAATAATAATGTATCAAAGTGTCGCTCTTCTTACACATACAACTGTGGTCATTTATAGAATTATATAGGGTAATTATTGGAAAATAGATTCTAAATATGATAAAGAGTTTTGCTGTCAACTCAAAGGTATACCGTTAGACTTTGCCAGCTGCTTCATGAGCGACAGATAAGCAGTCTCCCTCTGTGAGATTTATAGCCTCTGAAAACCCACTGAAGGGTCGACTCGACAGCACCTAACAAGTGCAACAAGTTTAAAAGTAATTTGTGTAGAACATGAGAATGAGTTAACGCAGGAAGATGCAGGGCAGAGATGAAAAGAAGGAAGGAAAGACTGAGAAAGAAGGTGGACCAGATATCTACATTAACAAACATCTACACAACCAGCTGAACTAACAGCCTTCTCATAAGTTAGCTCGAATGCACATTCAGCTGGCCCCGGGCTCTTCTAGAGTTGCAGTGTTCAAATTTACCAGCTGTTTCATCAGAGAAAGATGGACAGTCTTCTCCCATGGAATTGACTGCTTCTGAAAACCTTTTGGAGAGTCAGTTTCAACTCAGTGGTGCACAATAATATCAACTTGAGACAAAAGAAATCTGGTTGATTATGGAAATACCCACAGAAATAAGTCTTGTGTGTATGTACTTATTCTATTATTTTATTCAAGTTTGTATGTTGTTGAAAGTAGCTTTTCTTTCTTAATTATCATCTCTTTTGCTTGACATATCTGTGTGTATGTACACACACACACAGACACACAGACACACACACACACACACACACACACACACAGTGGGGGGGGGAGTGGAAATAAGGGTGGAGAGCAGGGTAGTAAATATATAGCTAGCTACGTAGGCATATATTATTGTTAGATGTCATCAAGTCAATTCATTACTACCCTATGAAAAAGAGATCTGAACTTTTCATTATATAACTGGACAGGCATATAACATTGCCTTCAAGATGACTTACCCTTCATTGGGTTTCTGGGACTGTAAATTCTACAGAAAGAGATTTCCCATCTTTTTCCTGAAAAGTCGCCTGTCCTGAGCCAGTCTTACTGACACTGATACACCTACCCATGTTGTCCTAATTACTGTATCAGTAAAAATATGGAATGCTTCACAAATTTGTATTTATTATTTAGTATGTTTCCTTTATTTTATTTATTTCATGGAAATCAACAGATATATACTAATGATTTAATCTGGCTAAAACCCCTTAAAAGTATATAATTATTAATATTAATAAAATAATATTTTATATGTGTTATTGGTACCTTTGTACATTTCACCAAAACATTTCATTTTCAGATTTTATCCTTTCTGTGTTTTTTCCTTGATTTTACTTGACTTTTAATTTTAAGTAATATACTATAACTATTTTTGCCAGTATAAAAGGTTTAGAATTTTAATACTGTATTTTAAATCCTTATTGTATTTATTCCTAATTAAACAATTAAAAGAAAAGTGCTTATGTCAAGATATTGCTTTAATAAACATAGCATAAATATCTATGTCAATGTTTTATTATTGCATATATTTTAATTAATATAGCTATTAAACCTTTTTAAATATAAGGAATGAGAATTTATATCTAATTCTATCTATCATGTCATGATTCCTAATTGTATGGTAATAATTATTACTGTACAGATTAATCACCTATTAAACCTTTAAAATAATAGTGCAGTTATTTCAAAAGCTAATGATTAAGTCTTTTATAATCTACAAATATATGCCTCTAAATTTTGTCCAGGAATGTAGCTGTGTGTGCTGCTGTGTGCCGTCAAGTAGCCTGCAACTCATAGTGAACTTAAGTACAGCAGCTCTGAAGCCTGCCCTGTCCTGAGCTAATCTTACCGACTCTGACCCATCAACCTCCATTGGCCCAATTACTATATCAATCCATCTCATCTGGGGTCTTCCTGTCCTGTGCTATTCTTCCACCCTTCAGAGCGTGATGTCCTTCTCTAAGGACTGTTTCCTCCTGGCCATGTGTCCAAAATATGTGAGACAGAACTTCAAAATCCTAGCCTCCAAGGAGAAACTTGGTTTTACTCTCTCCAAGGTGACATAATTGTTTTCTTGGTGGTCCACGATATATTCAAGACTTTTCAACAGCACCACAACTCAAAAGCATCAATTCTTCTGTACTCCTTAGTTTTGTCCAGCTATCTGATGCATAGCAAGTAATCACAAAGACCATGGTTCATATCAAACATATCTCTAGCCTGAGTATCGTTGCTTCTCAGGACTCTGGAGAGGTCCCTGACAGCAGATTTTTCTAGTCCAATAACTTACTAATTATATTTACACATAGATTAAGTCAATAATATCACTAAATTAAATAATTTCAACTTAGATTTTAAACATTACTAATACAGCTTATTATTTTACATTTATTTTTAAATTTATTATAGAAAATTCAATCACATCTGATTATTAACTGAAGTTGTTTTTACTGTTATGTAAAAATCACTTAGATGTTCCCCAAATATTCATTAGAGCAATTCTTCTAATTAAATTTCTAATTTAGATCCCCTTGTTGCTTTTAAATGATACAAGCTCAAATGTTCAGGAAGACATTTTCATAAACAGCTTGCAAAGAACATGATGATGAATTAGAGGAAGACACTTAGTCTCACAACATCAGATAAGCTTTGCCTTGGATGTTTAACTGAACATGACTTGAAATTAGTGTAAGCACAATGGAAATTGATAACATTTCAGTTAACTAATCGAAAAATAACTGGGCTTGTTTTCATGTATTGGGCTATATGACCTAGAATAGCCATACATCTACACCCCTGGGCATTTAGATGTGACATGATTAAATTTCAGAAATGGCATTGATGTTCATTTGCACCATTGACAACCATTTCTGGAAATTAATATCGTTACCAAGGGAGTACTTACAATGTAACATGGCCAACTATTATGCTAAAAGAATGAAGACCTAAATGATTTCAAAGGAGCTTACTAAAATCAAACACTAAGGTGTTTAAATGAGAAAAATTATATTTCTATATTTAAAATATTCCAAATTTTTGAAAAATTTCATTCAGGAATCTAAATAATTTTATCCTGTCTGTAAAGAATTCCATCTATAACATTATAAGAACAAAAATTCATGGTGAATGTGAATATAATTTCAAAGCTATAAATGAAAATTTCCTTGTCTTAATTTTGATCAGATATAACTCTTTATTACAAAAATTCAGTATTTTAAAAATTCATTTTCTCACATGCACTACATATAGTACATATAGTATATGTGTG